GCGCGTAGACAGGTAGAGAGATGGCGGGTAGACATGTAGAGTGATGGCGGGTAGACAGGTAGAGTGATGGCGGGTAGACAGGTAGAGTGATGGCGGGTAGACAGGTAGAGTGATGGAGGGTAGACAGGTAGAGCGATGGCGGGTAGACATGTAGAGTGATGGCGGGTAGACAGGTAGAGAGATGGCGGGTAGACAGGTAGAGAGATGGCGGGTAGACAGGTAGAGAGATGGCGGGTAGACAGGTAGAGTGATGGCGGGTAGACAGGTAGAGAGATGGCGGGTAGACAGGTAGAGTGATGGCGGGTAGACATGTAGAGTGATGGCGGGTAGACAGGTAGAGAGATGGCGAGTAGACAGGTAGAGTGATGGCGGGTAGACAGGTAGAGAGATGGCGGGTAGGTAGCTTTAGATACAAACATGGGCAGGAAGGGAAGGGTCAGCTGGGAGCTGGGGAGACACTGCCCACAGCCCTATCTGGCTGGGGTGGGCGCGGTCCTGGAAGGAGCCGGGAGTGAGCTAAGTCGGGGTTGAGCTGTGTTCCAGAGCCCAGGGCCTGGGGCTGTTCTGGGAGGGCCTTTGCCACTGAGACTTGGGGTAGAATGCGCGACTCCCAGGCAGGGTCTTTGCTCTGACCCAGACTATAAGCCCAGAAAGTGCTGGCCCTCAGAGGTGCTCAGGACACAGCTGCTGCATAGTGTGGAAAGGCGTGTCCACTCCCTGCCTGGGCTTTGTAGCCAGACTGACCTCTCAGTGTCTCTCTGGCCCTTAAAGGGAAAGGAAGGGTGCCCAGCTTGGGTGTGGGGCCTCTCACACACTGGCTGTGTGTCCCCGGCTCAGTCTTGACTTCATTTGCTAATAGCTCAGTGGTTACGCGCCCACTTTATACAACAACCCTCTGAAGTGGATACCATGACCTTCCGTGTTACGGATGAAAAGACTGGGCTCCAGAGGGATCAGGTCACCAAATGTGGCAGTCCTAAAACATGATCCCAGGGGACCAGACAGCAGCATAGCCATAAAACACAAAAGGCTGACCCACACGAGAGGTTCCAGGTTTGCATCTGGAGCCCTCCCTGAGCATGCTGGGCACACGCCTGCCATGACCCCCAGCTAGCCGAGGCTGGGCCGGAGTGCAGTGTCAAGGCAAGAGCCTCTGCTTGACGGGGGCCTGCTCTGGGTGCCCTGCTTCTGGGGATGTGGCCAAAGACCCAGCTCTAGGCTTCGCTGAATGCATGCTGTTGAGGGCACACTTGCTGTCTCTCATGGAAGAAGTAAATGAATCAACTTTAAGTTAAGAGAAAGCATGGCCCCAAACTTCTCTGAGCCTCCTCCTTGCAGGTGGAGGTTTGTCTAAGCTCCTGACCCTTGAACTTGAGGGCTGTGACTGCGTGACTCATAGAGCACTGTGGAAGTGACCTGATGCCAGTTCCTGGGCCCCGACCACAAGGCACCGTGATTTCCACTTTCTTCCTGTCTCTTGGGATGTGTGCTCTTTGAATGCAGCCACCAAACTGGAAGGAAGCCAAGAGGCTCCTGGGGAGGAAGGTGGAGGTGTGCTGGTCGACCGCTCAGCCGAGGTTCTGGCAGAGAGCCAGCATCAACCCCCAGACATGAGAAGAGGACTCTGAGACGCTCCAGTGCCAGCTGTCAAGTTGCCCCTGTCCCTGACACTGCAGGGAGCCAGGCCGTCCCCACCGTGCCCTTGCTGAGCTCCTGCTGTATGAGTAGGAATGGCTCTTCCCCCACTGAGGTCAGGGGGTGTTACAGGAACAGACTTGGGGGCATGTGTTAGGGGCAATGGAGCTGGGTCAGAAAGCAGGTCCTGCTGACCCAGAGCCCACCTCTTACCCACTGCCCCACACTCTCCCCAGGTCTCTCTTTGGGGAGAGACCTGCCAGAGGCCCAGCTCTGTGGCAAGGGAAACTGAGGCAGAGCCCCGGCGTGTGGGCTGAGTGCATGCCCGGGAGTGTGGGAGAGGTTCACTGAAGGTGTCACTGATCAGCCACTGCAAATGAGGCCCTATTCTAGGGACAAGGCACCTGGCGGTGAGCACGAGTCCGAGTCCTGCTCCTGAGGGGAGCACACCAGCACTAAGGAGGTCAGTAAGTGCCCGGAGGGCTTCACAGCGCACCCTGCTCGGGAGAGGCAGGAGGCAGAGATGGTGGATAGGATGGAGGGGTGGGGCCGTCACTAGGAAGATCGCAGAGTAAGGCTGTAAGAGAGGAGAAAGCATGAGTGGCACAGTATCTAGTTCAGGGTAGGAGCTGGCAAATTTTTCTGTGAGGGACCAGAGAGTAAGTACTTCAGGCTTTGCTGGCCCTCTGGTGCCTGTCGTGACCCTCCACTCTGCCGTCATAGTCCAAAAACTGCGTGGATGGTCTATCAATGGAGGCCTGGCTGTGTTCCAATAAAACTTTATTTCTACGAACAAGGCATGGGCCAGGTTTACCAACGTGAAAGAGCATTCCAGGAAGAGGACAGAGCAAGTGCAAAGGCTTTGGGGTGGGAGCAAGCCTGGTGTTTGAGGAACAGCAAGGGGAAGTGTG